TATTAAAGTTTTTAAGTGTGGTAAATTTGTAATGTATTAATCAGGACAAATGACAAGCAAATTTTTTCAAAAAACAGCAGAATAACTTATGTTACTATGTATGATCTTCTTCCTATTGTATTTATAAAATACAGAGTGTCATGCAAAAGACATTTATTAGATGTACAGAATTGAAAATAATTGTTTCAGTGATGTGAAAATTTCCTTCTGTGTCATTTTTAATATGCACACAGTTCCCATATGTATGTCTGTCTGTGTCAATAAAATCTTCACACTATTTGATCTATTTTTTCTTCTTACTTGCTTAAGTTGATTCTCTTTTTTGCAGTTACAGAAATAGCCATGTAGGTCCATTAGAGTTGTCTATGTGTATTGTTTTTGTCAATTTTGAAACATTCTAGAGAAAGTTTGGTATAAAACCCAAGCTTGGGCCGGCCAAGTGGCGCGTTGGTTAAGAGTTGGATTGGGGGCCGGCCGAGTGGCTCAACTGGTTAAGAGCTCACTTGGGAGTGCCAGCTCTGAGCAGCAGGGCTGCTGTTCAGATCCCACATTGAGGGCCAGTGACACTCGCCCTCTACAGCTAAGATGATGCACAACAGCTTGACCTGGAACTGGGCTGCCTTGAGTCGCATGCGATGGCATAGGCTGCAGCGGGGCTGCAGTGGGCTGCCATGAGCTACGTGAGTGGCTGGCAGCCAGTGTGAGCTGCCGGGAGCTGCTGTGAGCAGCCGACCAATGACAGGCGACTGATTACCTCACCCGGGAAGAGCACAATGATCATACCAACATGGGCCAGTGAAGCCATGTCCTCCACAACTAGACCGAAGAACAGAAACAAAAAAACAGCAATTTGTCTACCTGTCTGTTCCCCTTACCCGATTCCCCAATGCTGTTCCCCTCCTCCCAATTCCCCCAATAAAATCTTAAAAAAAAAAAAAAGAATTGGATTGGCACGCCAGTTCTGAGCAGTAGGGCCCCGGTTCGGATCCCACATGAGGGCCAGTGACTCTGCACTCTCTACGGCTACGATGGTGAACAACAGCTCGACCTGGAGCTGGGCTGCCGTGAGTCACTGGTGAGGACGTAGGCTGCAGTGGGCTGCCATAAGCTATCGTGTGTGGCCAGCAGCCAGCGTGAGCAGCCGGCAGGCTGCGTGAGCTGACAAGAGCCGCCATGAGCGGCTTTCCAGTGGCCGGCGACCGATCTGCCTCACCTGGGAAGAGCACAATGATACCAACATGGGCCAGTGAAGCGACGTCCTTCACAACTGGACTGAAGAACAAAAGGACAGCAACTTGTCTGTTCCCCTTCCCTGATTCCCCAGCGCTGTTCCCCTTCCCCAATTCCCCAATAAATCTTTAAAAATAGAAAAACCCAAGCTCTGCCACTTAGTGGATGCATGAGAAAATATTCCCATACAAGAGGACGTAAGATATTGTTTTCAGTATATGGACTATATGCATTACGAGATTGTGTGTATTATGAATTAATATGTGAAAAAAAGAACACTGTGTAGTATACAGTCATTTCAAAAAGGCTTGTGTTGCTATGCTTCTATGAGAAGTGTAAATTCCATAAAACTGTCAGCTCAAAGTCATGTATGAATTTTTGCCTGTTTCCTTCCTTTGTGCAATGGAACAGTGTTACTTGCGACCAGAGATATTGGTGTCACTAGTTAAAAGTGAGTTTAAGTGTGGAAACTCAGGCCACATCCCAGAACTCTTCATTCAGAATGTGCAGTTTTATAACAGTGCAATTCCTTGTTATCCACACGAAAATTTGAGAAGTACTTCGCATTTTTAACTCACCATGACATTTCCAGCCAAGAAATGCACATAATGTATCCTTTGTGATACAAATATAACACACAAAAAGCCATATGCCTGTGTTGATGCCTGAATTTAAATCTGTCTTTTAGAAAAAAAGATGTATGTCTCTCTACAGTGGTTGTGGATCATACGTCATTCTCCTTTCTCAGAGTTAGAAAACACACTGGAGAATATTACTGACAGTGGCTAGTGTTCCATTCCGGACACTCCTCTAGGTCAAAACCAGTTCTCTCTCTTCTAAAAAATGTGTATTTCACAATAAAAAATAATTAAAAAAAGAAAAAGAAAAAAACAGTTCTCTTAACTCTGTTTTCATAATGAGTCATGTAATGACCTTGTCTGTGGTCACGTGGTAAATGTGCCTTTTGTTTCAGGGACAGTTGACATTCATGGATGTGGCCATAGATTTCTCTCAGGAGGAGTGGGAGTGCCTGCACCCGACTGAGCGGGAACTGTACATGGACGTGATGCTGGAGAACTACAGGAACCTGTGCTCCCTGGGTGAGGGAACTTCCTTCCAGAACTCTTACCCCACCGCAGGGGTGTGTTTCCTTCATCAGTACAGCGTCTCCTGGGAGCTTCTGCTCTGTGTGGTAGAGCTTCAG